CTCGGGTGCATGGTCACACCTCGCGCAAGTTTCTTCTCCTGCTGGGCAAAGCATTGCTTGCCGTCGCCTTCTCCTAGCCGGTGCCCGCAACCGCTATGGTCTCCAGCATGGCCGCCCCCGTCCGTTGCCCTTTTCGTCGCCGCCGTCGTAAATGTCGCTGTAGCTAGAACAGGTCACCTCCTGCGCCGAGTCGGGCTCCATGTCGGTATGAGGCTGCTTGCTGCCAGAGCTTGTCTTGCGCGCTGCCTTTGTCCTCGTGCAGTAGTGCCCCAAAGTGTGGGATATCGTCGGGCTTGCGTGCCCACTCTTCCCCCGCTGGGCTGATCCAGCTGTCTGGGTGCTCAGGCTTCCATCCCAGACCTAGTAGCTGCACGATGACGCCTGCCATCGGGCCCTTGACATGATACCAGCGTTTCTTGGGCTCCATTGCCTGGCGCTTCGCGTAAGGCATTTGCCAGCCTCGCTGGTACCGCTTGAGTTCTGACGGGTGGCCCACGATGGTAATCCAGAACTGCTTTACCTGGTTCATTATGGCGCGTGTGACTGCGTGACTGCCTCGTGCACCCCCCTCTGCACCAACAGGATGGTGGCTGTGCAGCGCCCCGCCTTGTGCCCTCCTATGAGGAGGGCTGCCTCTGTTGCCCGAACTTGTCGCGACTCAATGGGGGTGATGCCGTGTGCTGGCAGATCCCAGGCTTGCTGGCAGTAGGTTGGCTCCTGCTGCATATACTTTGGCTGCTCCCTTCGCGTCTGTCTTGGCTAAGTCCTTCAATCTTTCGATCCTCTGCTTGGCTTTAGCTTGCCGCGCTGCGTGAGTGGGTCGCCTGACCTGCCGTCCCAGCCCTATGCCCGCACCTAAGTCGCAATCCACACCAGGTTGGGCGTGCCCAGGCTGTCGAGGATGCTGGCTATCTCCTGCTGCAGCTCGGGGTCCAAGGCCACCACGGATGTCTTGTTGGAGATCGGGATGGAGAGTTGCGCCAAGCCTCGGTGCACGATCTCTGCCACTAGCTTGATTCGGGCAGTGACCGTCTTGCGCGCTCCTTCCAACTGCAGGGCCAAGTCGTCCAGGTACTGCTGGAGGAACACGTAAAGGTGGCGCCTGCGCGCCGCATCCAGCACCCCGTAGAGCAGGGGCCTGGTGAGATCCACCGCTTCCCCACAACCTGCCACCATGCTGTTGGCAGGCTCGAAGATGTTCGAGCAAAGGCTGTGGGCCATGATCGCCCTCGGCGCAAGGTACATCTGGCTGGCCATGGCCAGGGGCAATGAGGAATGAGGAAGTGGAGAAGGTATGAGGAGGAGGAATGAGGAGGAGGAGGAGGAAGAGGAGGAGGAGGAGGAGGAGGAAAAGGAGGAGGAGGAGGAGGAGGAGGGATGAGGAGGAGGGGGAATGAGGAAGAGGAGGAGGAGGAGGAGGAGGAGGAGGAGGAGGAGGAGGAGGAGGAGCCTCGTGTGGAGCCGGTTTCCGCATGCCTCGCACGTGGAGGCCTTCCCGAAATCGCCTTCCAACGTCCGTCCATATCCCTCGGCCGGGGCGGTTCCGGGGGGCTCCGGTTGTCCCGACGGGGCCGTCAGGAAAATA